TCCATTTATAATTAGACCATGTTATTTTATGATGTCGTTGTGGATGAGCAGGAGGACTTGACATGTATCACCAAGATCTGGCTAGGTAAGAGCAGTGACACTGTTCTGTTGGAGATCTGCCCAGATTTTTGGTTCTGTACCAGTTATGACCTCAAGGCTGGGGTGGGATGGTGATATTTATCTTATGGGATAACTTGTTAGTAACCAAGGCTGCTGTTACTGAAATGGTCATATCTGAGTGTCTGCATGTTAAGTTAGACTGATGGCACAAGCTGAATGTCTGACTGATATACTGACCATCCTGCTAACCAGTTGATTTATTTTCAAGGCTCCATGATCTCGTCTCTGGGCTGGTGTTGGAATCTGTTCACCTTTTGGTGTTGGGTGACTTCCAATTTCCATGCTTTGGGAGCTGGGTTAGGAAAAGCTTTGGAGCTCATGAGCACAAGGATGATCATAAGCTTGTCCCAAGTAATTTCTGACCTGACACATGGAGGTGATCATACATTCAATATATATAAATAATATATATAAATAAATAATATATATAAATACATTCACTTTAAAATGGTTGAGTGACTCTACTGACATGATTAGATTACTTCCTGGTCCAAATAAGATTAACTGCCATCCAGGCACTCTGCTGGGTGGGACTAACTAGGAGGGTCCATTCTAGGTGTCTGGTGGATCTGGGGAATTTCTGGAGGGAGCTTGAGGAAGTTTCCAACCATCTGACAAGCAATTCTGCCAACTGCCTGGTTAACTTCTCACAGCCAGAGATGACCCAGGGTCTTGATGAAATTGTCCCTGACTGGACTCTTTCTGTTCACTAATCACAGGGCTTGTCTGAGGTGTTTTTTTTTTTTTAATCTTTGGAAATGAAGTGCCAGAAACAATCCTGGAGCAGAGGAAATCTAAAAATGAATGTGACCAACCACAGGTATGAGCTCAATGCTGGCAGTACAGGAGGTGAAATGTTATTTTTCCCTTATTCCATTGGGGTGCCTTGTTTAGGGTAATAAATTCCCTCTTTGGAACAGATATCCGAAAAGCTCTCATCTGTCAGCTGTGACTATTCTGCTCATTGGTTTGCCAAGCAAGTCACTCGGATTGGCCAAAGTCTTGACTACACTAGGCAGCCTGAAGTGGTGACAGGACATCTGTCCAACTTTGCTATCTGTGATTCTTTTGGGCTGTGGATTCTGAGTAGATAGGGTGCTCTCCAGTACAACCCCTGCCATTTACAGGTTTGATCCATGCCTCTCCTAGCCCTTACATGGAGGAAGGGAGGGTGTGATGAAGATTGTCAACACTTCTTGAAGGGAATGGGTGATGCCAGCAGCTTGAAAGAGGTTCTGTGCACTGCTTCCTTAAGAGGCCCTCCTGTATACAGGGTGCTTGACAGGTTTTGGGGAAGACTGTTGAGTGCATCATGCAACAAACCCTAGAGGAAGCAGATTATCTAGGTTCAGAGCCAGACATGGGATGGAAACACTGGTCATTCTAATGGGTGATCTTTATCAGACCTCAAGGAGTACATCCATATTGCTCCTACTAGACCTGTTGGCAGCTTTTGATACCATTCACTATAGTATCATCCTGGACCATCTCAGCAGCTGGAATCAAAGGCACTGTGTTATAGTGAGGAATGTTTGTCATCAGAAACTGGATTTTACTAGTTAATTTATTAGAATTGTGGATTATTTATGGCAGTGCTTTTATTGTGTTTCATATTGTAAGCTACTGTGAGTTGATTATGATTTGGAAGCATACATCTGTTTAATTAATACTGAATCAGACACTGGTCTGTTTGGCTCAGTACTGTCTACATTGACTGGCAGAAGCTCCCCAGGGTTTCCGACTAGAATCTTTCTGATTCTACTTGGAAAGGCAATGAATGAAGCCTACAAGTTTTTGCATACAAAATGGGGCCCTATTACTGAACTACAGCTCTTCCCTTCATGCTGGAAGGTTGTGTTTTATGTGTTTTATGTGTTCTATGGTTTTTATATTTTTAAAGCTGCACTGGGGTGGCATTTAATTTCGTTGTACGAGAAGTACAATGACAATAAAGATTACTTTGACTTTGGAAACATTAATGAGCATTCTGTATGACAAGCATGGGCACCATTTCAGGGTTCAGGGGCCAACATTCTGCCTTCCAATTTTCTGGCCACCCAGTGCCATTAAGATATCATTGGTAGGGGCAAATCTTTTCAACCCTTTGGAGGGCAGGGAGGGTTGAGGGTGAGAATAATAGGAGAAGGCTTCTGGGAGGTTAGGTGTTTCTATCTCCATCTTTAAACTCCCCAGAACCTAGGGGCCCTGCATATATCCCACAGATTGCCCCCCTCGCTGTAGAGAGTAGCAATGGAATCTGAGAAGTGTCTTTTGCAGAGGGAATGTGCATATAGTTGGCCAGGATCTGGACTTCACTTTACTTTCTTAATTGTTAATTTGCTGTTTTTTTCCTTAGCTAACAATACAGTTTATGGATTACTTGAATGTTATACTGCACAAATGTTTTGGAACTGGATTTTTGTCCCTGGAACTGCATATTTTACGCCTGATTGCTTACTTAATAAGCAAAGTCCTGATGGCATCAGAGAACAGGTCTATCTAGTAGCATTGATGACTAAGCAACTTAACAGCGATTCTATCAAGGCAGATTGGCCTAGCCTTAAGAAATTAATTCAAAAGACTGATATTGCAGCATTGGAAAGATAAATGTATGGTCCCATTTATTCAATGGATTGAAGACCTGATTATATTTGCTAATTATGAGCGGATTGTCTATAGACGTAGACTTTGTATGGACAAGTATAATAAATATTGGACTCATTTATACAGAATACAATAGGTTAAAAATGATAGTCATATAAATGTATTAGAAATAAATACGTACTTTAATAATATTTGCATTAGATAAGTATATATAGTATTGTAATTGCTTACTGTTATGACACATTAACATGGTTGTTTTTCTTTGTATTTCACTTTTTTGTTAAAGCATTTTCTATAAAAACAGATAAAAAAAGAAAATTCATCAGACCTATCCCTTCTTTTTTAAAATGTAAATCTTGGATCAGAACAATATATATCCACCTATGGCTAAAACACTCAAGGACTAGAATCTAAGGAAGCTGTTCTACTTCAACTATTGTGACTGACATCAATTACTGACTGCATTCAAGAAAACAATCCAGTAGTTAATTCAGTGAGGCAGAGCTGTTCTTTGTCAGTCCAAAGATACATCTTAGAAGTGTAGCTCCTCAAAGCACCAATTGGGAGGGAAAGGCAAGAAATAAATGAAATTATTTTTCTATGGCTTCCTTTAACTATGTAATGCCACCTAGGTTAGGTTGTAGCCTTCCCCTAGGCTTTGCCTTTTAGGTAGCACACAAAAGATGCAAATACAGTATCTTCACAACAGAGTGCTTCACAATGCAGGAATAGAATACTCAGTACTAAGATGTGCTCTGAGAGAGATAAAGAAACCCCATGCAGGAGCAAAATAAAATAAAATGCCCAGTTTTGCCTGTGTTGTACATACAAGGTACACTTGTAAGGCATTTGGCCTTTAGGTTAATTTAACTCAGTGTTTCAACTTCAACTTCAACCATGCTGGCTGGGGAGTTGAAGTCCAGACATCTTCAAGTTGCCAAGGTTGAGAAACAGTGTATTGTCAAAGGCTTTCACAGCCGGCATACAATGGCTGGTGTGGGTCTTCCAGGCTGTGTGGCCGTGTTCTGGAAGTTTTGTTTCCTAAACTTTTGCCAGCATCTGTGACCTGCATCTTCAGAGGGCAGGAGCACAGACAGGAGCAGATGCCGGTCACAGATGCTGGCGAAACGTTAGGAAACAAAACTTCCAGAACATGGCCACACAGCCCGGAAGACCCACACCAGCCATTGAGAAACAGTGGTTTAACTAAAAGCCCGTAAGTTAGTTTAATTAAACTATTATGTGTTAGATTTTATGGATCACTTTGATTATCTGTATGCCTTGCTTTTGTCTTGACCTTGAAGTACCCCTCCCAAAGTCCACCTGGATTGGGGTGAGTGGCCTCTCTCTCTCTCTCTCTCTCTCTGAATGCTAATGGGATCGGTCCAGGTATCTACTACTCTGAAACAAACTGTGGATTGGACAAAGAGATCAACAATGCTGTGACTTTAAAGGGGCAATGGATGAGATGATATTAAATATAAAGCCAGAGAAAAGTTCCTCCGAGCTGGAACTGATGTCTTGGAGAGGTCCTACACACTGAACGATAACTTTCCTTCAGATGCTATTCTTTCTCTCCCCATTAGCAAACCAGCAGCAGTCATCGGCAGAAGCCGACGTTTAACGGGGAAAAACAAACAAGTTTCAGAGGAAAAGCAAACGACTCATCTCCCTCCGGCTCTGGGCGCCGCATCGTGGGAGTGGGCTTGGGTCGAAGAGCGGATGGCCGCTGACCAGCCGTCCGTTCATCGCCAGAGAGACGAGGGCCGGCGGGGCGCCTGAGGACTTCCTTTCCCCCCAGCCGCCGTCCCACCAATCCCCATCCCTCGTGCGGAGCGCGGGGATCGCGGCTCCTGTCTCCTCCCCCC